TCAAAGAAATACAATATGATGAGAAAGGAGGAAGGTGGAGGATAACATTCTGAAGGATTGTTTACATTGAAAGCCAGGAATAATTTCAGAAGAGCATTAAAGATTTTTGAAACAATTTCATCGTTGCAGTTCAAAATGTAGACAGACCAAAAGTACACAGGTCGAACATTTCTCTTCGACCAATAGTTTCATTTCCGGGAGCGCCAACTTATAATCTATCCAGAGAGCTTTAGAGGAGACTGAAATACCTGGTGGAATCAAGCAGATATTTCATCAAATCACTGACAGAACTCTTAGAAAGAATGAAAAATATTAGTTTATAAAAAGATGGCTAATTAATGGTTTCCTTCGATACCATGGCATCATACACATCAGTTAATCCACTAATTGCCAAGAATACTGCTTCTCTCCTCCTCTGAAGATACACTGGAGATTCAGTTGTTCAAGTCTGAGGGAACTTATTGGTCTTTGTCTGACGACATTCAGTTTAATGGGAAGATTTGCAAACAGATGAAAGAAACTATACTGGGACCACCGATACTCGGATTAATTACAGTAGTGGCATACAGACTGAAAGCCATCATTTTACGTGATCAGATCAGACATTTGGGCCCTCTGTGTAGACGTTGTTTTTGTTATCACCAAGAAAGATGATTCAGAAAACTCAATTTGATCAACAACGTTTTCAACGACTTCAAATCAACAATGCAGAAGGAGTCGAAAAACCAACTGGGATTCCTAAATACTTTAGTCAGTAGGACCGGAAAACTGGAAGCTCAAATTTACGAGAATTCAACACAGACTGATCAAAGCCTCAACTGCAGTGGCAACAACCTAGCAATGCACGAAACAAGTCGTGTGCTGAATCTATTCAAAAGAACAAGAACACCCTGTAACAACACAACTTCTTAGGGAAACGAAGAAAACCGCTTAATGCCTATCCTAAATAAAGACACTTATCTATTTAACTTTATCAGGAGACAGCTGTTCCGTTCATCATCACCTACAGAGTCACCCACGAAAATCAGCAAACTGATCATTTTACCCTACATAAAGAACATTGCCAAATCACGGCAAGATTATTGAGACCACTAGGAATTGGTGTAGCTCATAAACTACAAAATTCCCTTCAAACCATAATATGCAAACCGAGGGACGCATTAGCCAAAGAAGGGAAACAGAATATCATTTCAAAATCATCTACAATAGTTGTGATCAACACGACATTGAAATGAGTGGTAGTTCTCATCACCTTTATTTATATGATCGTCATTTGACAATTAAACCTTACTACACTTTTTCGCTCACATCAATGCGCATGGATAACCATAAACATGAATTAAACTTGGAAAATGTAGACGTTTTGAGCAGAGGAAATGCAAAGAATATCAGAAAGTTCTTGGAGGCTTACCATTCAGGTCAGTCAGTAATCGACAGGTGTATTGAAATGGATCTGATCAGTCAACCAACAAGTAAAGTGGTAGACAACTTCAAGGTGGGAGGTCAGGAAGAGAAACAGTCAACAGGAAAATTAACTAAACTAATGGCACAACAGTTAAAGCAAACAACCAGTCACAAGCCAGTCCACCAGGGTAAGCAACTGAATCACTCACGCAGAGATGGTGACAGCTCACTTCATATTGAAGTTATTGCTGATGAAATTGCCTACAAAGACAATGAAGAGTTCGGGATTAAACTATCTGGTTCAGAGAATGTAATACAACCAAGATTATAGTGTGCCTTAACGTTTTGTTAAGTTTCTTTCCAGATATTCAGGTAGAGAAGACTGTTGAGTATAATCATGATTCCACTCCACGTTTTTAACAACTAACAATATAATTTTTATTAATATTACTGTATTTATTTATACATGGAGTGATAATTCTGCCAACCGTCTCGGCAGACAACTCACTATACTGATTTCTGTCAACAGCTTCGCAAGATGAAAGTAAGAGCCATGGGGAAAAAAGTAAATTTAAGTTGCAGGGTAAAATAAGGGGTTTCACAAGATTCCCTTTCGTTTACCCCTTGTTCTCAATCATTTTGCCTTATTCTTTTTAAATTTCCGTATCTTTATTTTTCGGTTCGTCCTGTGATTGTTGGATTACTCAGGGCCTTTTTATATGCCACTAGTTCTGCAGTCATAGTGGATCTACACTAACCTTATCTACTACAAAGAATACCCATAAATGTGGCCTTAGATTTGAAAAGCATCAATGCAAATTGTCTATAAAGATCCAAGTAAATGTTTTCGCTGCATTATCGAGTGTCGTAATGGCTGATTAACAATAATGTTAACCTTATTCTTCATATCTACTTAGGGGCAGCTGATAATAGAGGGTAAAACTTCATACTAGAAAAAAATGTATTACAGAAACTAATGTTCCATTTCTAACAACTTTTACTGACAATCGGTTAGAACTTTGTCAATGATTTTGCCCACCAAACCCGCCAGCACAACTTTCTTTGATTGTAGTTCCTTCTCTTTCCTTCTGTCTTTAAGTGGAAGAATCTGATTTGTGAGGAGACTGATATGCTAGTTGACAAATGAAGAAATTTTTCTGAGTGTTAGACATTCTTACAAGTTATATCCATTACAAATAGAGTGACTGGATAAACTTCTGAATACAAAACTTCAGGCTTCAGAATATGAATTTTTACGACTTTCGTAGTTTGACGAATATCCCAGGCATACATCTTTTAGGAGGCAATCACGATCTATGTACACAATACTGAAGTTGTTTTCTGTATTTATCTAGTTGTTAAAATCAACGAAATCCTTCAAAATAGAGCTGTGAGTTGTCATCCTTTCTCTTTTGTGGAACCAAACTGGTTTGTGTTCAAAAATATGTTTACAATGTAAATTCTAATTTTGGCCAACATACTTTACCCCCACAGGAGCAGGTAAGTTTTGAAACACATAGATTTGGCTTGTCGAAGTATTTTATGTTTTTAGAGAAAGTTATTCTGAATTTGCCAGCACTGAAAGTCTTTTGTAATAAGCATGCCTAGTTTGCGATGAATTGTGAATTCATTACAAAAAAACGTCTTAGAAACCATGAAAGAAGAGTGGTTCTCAAATTGTGTTTCAAAGATTTTACAGTGAAACCCTCAGGCTACTTACTGATTTTCAACCAAAATATTAGTATGAAAACTGAGTTCATTCTCCAAAGTATCAAGAATAAAGCTTTTTTGGATTCTACGACAAAAAAAGCAAATCAGATTTCGTTTAGTGCGGAAAAACATTTAGCTATGGAAATTTGTAAAGAATGAACAAGATAACTTACAGAAGAGCTCAAAAATTGATTTGCATGGGTTATTTAACCACATGAAAACAATAAAGATTTAACTTCCTATATCTTTAAGGTATGCTCAAGGATGTGTAGACGAAAAAGAACAAGTTGACAGAATAGGCAGGGATGACGGGACTTCCTTCACGTGAACATAGAGAAGACACAGGTGATGCAGATACCCAACCAACAACAACAAACACCAATCGCGATCAGCGGGAGAAATCTAAAGGAAGTTCTCTCTTTCACCTACCTAGGCAGAATCGTTTCAACTACAAGCGGCACAGATGAAGACGTTAAAGCCAGGAGCGGAAAGGCAGCAGGATAGGCCTTCATTAACCTGAAATCAGTGTGAAGATCTACTGCATTCCATTCAGCATAAAGAACAAGGTCCGGATTGTCAACACTAACTTGAGTCAAGTCAGTGCTTCTATATGGTTTAGAGACTTGGCGCGTCATGAAAAGCATTTCCAACAAAGTACAGACACACCAACCAACAGTTGCCTACACTCACTTCTGAAGATCAGATGGCCAGAAAGAATAAGCAACAATGAACTGTGACTGGCTGGCAACGAACCAGCCAAGAACCCATCGCCCAACGAATATGAAAAAGAAAGTAGAGATGGATTGGAATGGACATATACTGAGAAGATCGATTGGGGACATCACACTCCGGACCAGGCCCTCGAGTGGAACCAGCATGGGAAACGACGAGTTGGGCGTCCGAAGGTGATATGGAGGAGATGGTGTGTGAGGAAGGAATAAAAGCTTGTGGGCAGTCGTGGAGCCAGGTTAAAAGACTGCCAAGTGTCTCACATTATCACACCTTAAACCAACATGTCGAAATACAAAGCAACAAAACGAAGCTACACGAAAGGGAAATAATAATGTCATCAAAAGGCATTGGAAGACAGTTTAAGCGAAGAAAAAGGTGTGAAACATCATGAGATAGATTCTGAGTCCCCAGTGTTTTGTATGCTAAGCAATAAATGCGACCAGTCACCAGGTGGGTCACACCAAGTTGGAAGTGAGGATAGATACTCAGTGACAGCATTACATAGAGGGGAGAGCTCACAGTAGTAGGAAAATGTGGACCACTGTATTTAGACCCAATGACTCAAAGATAAAATGCTCAACACAAAATATGGGGCTCCTGGTCGGATCTTAGGTGTACACTACTGAGGGATCACATACCACGATGAAACAGCTGCCCAATGCTCCCTGAATTCCAATAGTTCTATAGGTAGTCAGTCTGTGATGAATACCGACTTGAGATAAAAACGTCTCCACAAACCACCAAACTGTTTTCTGACTAATTTTATTTGCTTCAATACACAACAGATAATTAAAGTAGATTGCTTCCTAGCTAATTATCCACTCAATCTAAGTGTGGAAGCTTATTTACTAAGAAAGTCAAAGAAATGCAATAAATGGATAGAGCCGACTGCGGAGCATCTAAAATGCCAGTTTAGTGAAAACTAGTTGAAACCAATCAAGCATCTTACAGCAGATCTGTTTGAAGTGCATACCTGCAATACAAATGATATCGGACAGGCTTGACTCCATTTAAAGCCCCGTCAGTCATTCACTTTCATTGTCTATGGGATTCAACACCACTTATTTTTCTCACACTGTATCAAAACTGAACCGCTGAATACCGCCTTAAATCCTCTTTATAACTGTTGTTGTGAGCTTAAAAGGAATATTTTTATAAAATGGTATAATTGTATTTTCAATAGCAAAAGTCGGAATACACATGATCAATTTGAACTATATACCATCACGTCATTTGAAAACAAGTTTCTGCTTGCGAGTAAGTGTCAAAACAAGATACTCTTTCCCCGACTTGTCATCAATCGTGAAATTGAGAAAAGAAACTTGACTCAGTAAAGAGCATAGCAAAGAGGTGAGAAAGATAAGTGAAGCAGCAAATGGAGACAAAACGCCGAGCTCAAGATTTCAGAAAGTAAGGTTACGCAATGGTTAAAGTGACATGCTCAAACTCAATTTTCAGCATTCCATTTTGAAAGAAATTTCTCCGAAGGAATAGAAAAACTGAGTAAACGTTAGGAAATACAGTTATAGAAAACAATGGAATATTTGTGTAGCTACTACGAGCAATCAAACAGTCTATGGCAACAGGTAAATTGAAGAAATGTTTCGGCACACACAACACTACCAGCCTTCAATATGCTCGACGATTCTGAAGATCAGATAAACACTGTACATGACTTCATTTATGGTTTCCTGAAAAATAGAACAGAAGCTTATACTTCACATGCTTGATCATAATGAAAGCATTTGAAATAAACAACTCATAAAACTGAATATTTGGATGACTTTGCTGGGAAAAGAACCAATTTGTTCTGTTAACAAATAGAGTAGATATGCTTGTTAATAGAGGCAAAACTTTCGAACATATCTACAACTTGGCTCTATCCACTATACACAACATACTCATATCGAGTTCCTTCCACTTTCTTAGACAGATAATCATTCTGTTTTCTATTCGGATATGTAATGTCTGCTTTTTAGATCTCTAAAATACTAATCAGTTTGTAGAAATATTCAGAAGTAATAAAATTCGATATAACTTCACAGGAGATCACATCACTTCTTCTTTAAATTCTCATTCAAACAGTTTCACGTATACCGGTCATGCTGGATCTTCTGGAGCGTCAGAGAAACAATGCAGTCAACTGGAACATTCCTAAATGGCACAATGTTTTGTATGTACATTAACCTTTAGTCGTTTAAATGTCTTCAGCATTCTGGAGAAATTCAGTGTCGAGTGAATATGAACCTCAATCTCATTGTACAAGTGTGCATAAGCCATCGGTATCACTCAGATCATATGACTTTCACAAACTGTTCATGCACACGATTTGCGCTAATATTAATTATGCATCACTCAGTTTGACGAAATCCGTTTCAGATAGAATAGGTAATTTAGCCCTCAAGCTTGTTTGCAATTACGATTATGTAACTGAAACAAGCATCAGTACCGATCTAAAGGTCACCTTATTTAAAGCTGATATTTTTTAAAGTTTCAGCATAATATAGCACTAAAAATAATTTGTGCACTATTCTTCTAATACTCTTTGGCTTTGCCTGGGTATGTATTTTCCGCATCGAAATCCAGTCAACTTTTCTCTTCTTAAAATCATAATTCTGATTATTTATCTTAGTTTACATTGTCAGCATAAAAATATTTTCACTTGAAGAAAGAAATGATAGTTATTTTCTATTTTTCGAGGTTCTATTTTCCACATCATACAGTTACTCACCAAGCTGCATGAATTCCACTGAACTTAGTTTGTACGAAAATGAAGCATACACAGATTGGACACATGTTCAAGTCGAGTGTTACCAACCTTTGAAGGATACTTTTACTTAGAGAAAACGTTGCTCAGTCTTCAGCTACTTTGAAGTTAATTTCGATCAGGTGACACTGGTGAGAGGATGAGGTGGAAGAACTACCTCTAGTATAAGTACATGACCTTCTGCAGTGAAGCATCAGCTGATTTATATAATTTCCTTTCAACTGTTTGATTATTCACTGTACTATTCGAAGCACTTTACAAGATCACTCTTGGTCTAATTTCTTGTTGATAGTCATTTCATTTCAAACACTATATTTTGACGGGACCTCTGACATTCCTTTTAATCTATTCTACACTAAATTTTCAAGACGGCATGGACACAGTTGGTTTGCATACATGATTTTACATCACCGATGGAATATGTTAGCTAACTGTTTGGCGTTCATAAACGTTTTGAGTGAGCAATAAGGTCAAATGACTCGTGCTATTGTGCATACCAGTTTTGCACACGTCAGTTGCACTGACCTTTTCAAGTACCCGATCTGAGATTTATCCGGGTATTCTGTAGCAATTTCACCAATTTATGCGTCAAGTCAATGTCAATTGGTTGATAATTTCTGAAATATCCTGATGTATTTTGAAGTGGGTCGGTTAATGACATTAAGTTGCCGGCTGTTCTTCTTGTTGGCAGTTTATACTTGTATGTCAATAACTATTGCCTTTGAACATTTTGTACAGTAGGCGTCTTTTGGTACTTATAGTTATCATGCGCTACATTTTTAATCTCAGTAAGCAAATATACAGCTGACACCTGGTTGTTGTTGTTGCTAGCCAGGGAGTCATTACTACAGTAACGCAAAATATGATCCAACTATCTATCTTTCGATGACTTCGCTACACTCTAAAATTCACTTTCAAGGAAAGTATATACCACAAATACACTCTGCTTCGTGAGGAAATGTATACCCCACTTAACAAAGTATGGAAACTATTGGTTTCCATGATACTACTTATGGATCGGTACAACTTCTATGGTATTACAAGTACCTTCCATCACATAACTTTGTGAAAAACCGCCTTCTGTTTTCTTGAACATGATTTTATCGGCAGTTAGACGAATCATAGTTGTATGAATGTAGTGGATATTTTGTTGACAATTTACCCCAACTTCAGTCATGGGCATTGGGGTCCACGGAAGCCCACGGTCGATATTTGAGACTGAATACTTATCCACTACATGACAGTCAAGTTTTCTAGTCTCGATTTGGGGAAGCGAAATGACCAATTCCAGCTTTCACCTCACCTATGGACACTACATGACCTACACTGCATCTACTTGGCTGGTTAGTCAATGAACACTGATCACTCAAATTCCGAAAATTGACTGCAGAATACTTCAAAGATAAACAACACCTTATACCAACTTAACAAAGAGGTTCTCTAATCGATAGGACAGTGGATTTTGAGGCAATAGGTGTTGAATTTAAGTCACAGTGGAAATACTCTCACCCACGAATCAGATCACATACATTTTACAAGCTTGTCATGGAGTTTCACTTCAATGACCCTAACTTAAATTGATAGGTACTAACTTATTTATTACTTAGCTGATACTGTAATTTTCGTCATCATAAAAGAAGACGTATCTTTCAGTGTGAAACCTCATTTCAGTGAACCTACTATATTTACTTGCAGTGATCTGACATTATCTAAAATGATACTTGTATAACCTTCCCAAACATTTCAGTATGGCCCACATCACACTAACATGAGCAGTGAAAAGGTGATTCGACTCACCATCTATTCTTCCAGTCTATGAACATCAAACAGACTTAGTAGTAACAAAACACTCAATGGTTTCTGAAAATAGCAGGCTGCTTTTCAGCCTTCAACTCAATGTTTTCTTTACTACATTTAAGAAAATTATCCAAGCGAATGCATCCACTATGTGTAGCATCATACACTACGGAAGTGAGACAATCTATGCGTGTTGAAATATATGCACTACATAAAAACGAGTTCATTCCATTTCCTTTGCAGGTCTGTTGAACAATATCGGGATGCAACTGTTATAAGGTTGCAGATATCACCACACACGTCCAACGGAAAACACGAACTACAATACTCCAACTCAAATCTGTTACCCTGAAAACCCGCAAAAGTCAAGTTGCCTAGTTAGACTATATGAGCCAGTAGTTTACTTCATAGCCACAACTGTGGTATTCTGACAACAGAGAAACACGCTTGCAGCAGTGTTTTAGTTGATGATTTTGATTTGGAATTTATGTGGATGAAACGTCAAATGTTAAATGTCAGTTTGATTGATGAAACCAGCCAGTAGCTGGGTATATCACTGGTCACAAGTCAAGGACAACATCCTTTTGTTTACATTTAGTGAAGTAATGGAAACACTTCAGATTTCACACACTTTTCATGTCAAGGAAATGTTTATGAAAATGGTTCACAATCAGATAACTAAGAATGAGTGAAAAAGCAGTGCATATAACAAGGTCAAGCAATCTACCAACTGGTGGACAAAACAGAACACACTACGGGTGCTAGAAAATAACTTCTAACACCATACGGACCATCACTGATTCACTTGATAAGTTGATGTGAACAGCAGAGATTATCAAATGATCCATACGCACGACAAGACAGATTTTATGAATTCCAAGCAGTACTGATCTGAAATCGAATATCATTCGTAGTGCTTTCTTTGATATCCGAAATATGACTGCAAATTGGAGACAGAAACAACTGTCCCCAGTTTCTTCAGTTCATGAATCACCCTCTGGAAATCTGTCGCAAAACAACCATCGGTTTCCTTCACTTTACAGTTATTATTTTCAGTGTGGAAAGATTATCAGTTATATTGAATATAAAAGTTTCTGTATATGTCAATTGTTCAATGATGAGTAGGTTTCAGTCAAATATGTTGCTTTCATTACTGATGAATGTGCTTATGTTTAGCTGATATAAAAATGATTACTTAAACATGGTACACATAAGTGCGTCAATTCAAAAAATTGTACAATATGAAACTGAGTAACACTAAGTAATATTTCATTTGAGGTACTCACCGGAACAATGTGTCTTATTGACGTAAGGCCCAATACACAGCGAGTACATGGTTGCATATGCGATGAATGTGTTGTCGGATGCAGAATGAAATAGTTCACTGAATGGACCCTTTGCATATATTGGAACATCTTCAGCACCGTGTGTAGCATAATTAAGTCTAAAGAATGATTGTGCTGTATAGTTGTTGGCAAATCGATCTTCGGTTGCAGGATCAGATCGAAATTCATTCACCAAACCTCTTGGTCCATTGAAATAGGAGGATATTAAGTAAGACTTATTATCAGCAGCCTGAAGCATAAGCCGAAAAAGTAACAGATGATTTTATAGAACACAATATGCTGTGAAACAGTATTCTGTGGATACATATATTAAAAATAAAAATTTGCATTCTGGTCTATCACAACAGTCTTCAGAGATAATGTAGACTAGTGTAATAACAGAAGGAGTACCGAAGGTTCATAAAAACACAATCCATTATATTATTTGATAACACTTATAATTCCCCATGGTTATACTGGCCAGAATTGATGGATCGATTCAATCCAGTACAACAGCATGGAATCACAAGTGTCAACAAATTGTGGTCAGTAACACCTGTTGCGTAAGAGACGGCCTGGTGGATAAGTCTCTGGCACCTGAAGTGATGTGTGCGGAGTCCGAGCTTCAGTGGGAACAACACCACTCACCACGAGTACTAAATAGGGAGAAAAGCACGTCTTAAATTCCACTGTGAAGCACGACAACAAATCGGAATCATCCATTTTTCTATCACTCAGTAGGCATTGTCCTTCTTTTTCCATAAATTAAAGATGCTGTATCGCTATTATTTTAATACCTAACGTGAGTATTCACATCTCTTATCATTGCACTCCAAATCAGTTGCACCAAGAGATGTTTTCTCGCTTCTCATATACTTTTTCAGGTGAGGATTCCATGCTTGTGCACATCCTGTTGTTAAACAATCGAATGGATGTCGATGAAGAAACAAAATATCTGCTGAATCGGATAGTGAAAAGATCAGCAGATTGAATAATTAACAACGAATTCAGCGCAGGTGATAAAGCTTAACAAAAGTTTGCAAGTCGTGTTGTCTGACATAAAGAAACCTTAAAGCTAGGAGAAGACCAAGCAATTATCATGTCGATCCTATTCTGGTATCGTTCATTATTTTCAAATTGGCTAACAGTATCAAAAATCCCAAAATTTCTATTCAGTGGTGAATAGTTGATGAATACCAAAGAGTGACTAAATCATACTTCCCATTGATTGGTCATTGGAGGGTAACCAACATCATGTTGTCTAGTACTGAGTCCTGACCGAATTCTGTCGATCGTTTTTGCAATGTGGCCACCAGACTAGGTAGCTCACCGTTGTGGTGTGCGTTTGATGGATGTCAGCTGGCTGGAGGTAGTCGTCAAGATGCTCTACTTGACCTCTGAGTGACGTTACCTGTCAGTCAATCTTTCCAACATGGAATGCAAGAAACCAAACTCCAAGGCCTCCTGCCGGTTGCCTTCGACTAAATAACAACCATCTGAAGTGCACCTCAATGATGAGTATCCTAGCTTCGTAGCCACACTCCAAAATTATCAGTAGGATTTGGCCGTCACTCAGCACAACATGAAACTGCTTGCTGTCTGGTGACCAGTGAATCTACATCATTTAGTCCTGAATGAGGTCGGTCACTTCTCGAATAGCCAAACGGTAACGTCGTTGACTACATCAGTAGGTAATGATGCAAGCACAAAATCTAGGTAGAAGACTTCCTGCCAACTACTTCCAGTGTCTATATCCCACATAATAAGCTCATATTAGGCCTTAAGCCTCCTCTCCAAACAAGCCTTGGGGATCAGTATGAGCTACATATTTCACTAATTCTTCTCAAATCTTTTACCTTCAAACAACCATTGATCATTTGTAGCCCCCTCCATACCAGCACATTCACTACACATTGACTCAGTAAAGATTTTATCCCCTGTGCGACTCATGAGTATCCCCGGAATTCATTTCTTCTTGAAGACAACTTGTATCTTGGTGAAATAAGCAATCAAACATTTCTACATTCCTATTTCGATTGACTCATGTTGTTTGGCTTTTATAACAATTGACACAAATTAGGTAGTTGTCCCTCAGGTAATCACAGTAATTAAAGATTACTATTTAAACTTCTACATTCACGTTCACAATAACAGTCATTTTAAACCACAGGAATTATCAGCAACTCGACATCGCTATTTCTACTTTACAGTCATGTCAATTAGTAAAATATGCTCACACACAAATATCACAAGTTCAAATCTACGAATTACTTTTAAATCGTCACCCACGTCGAATACACTCAAGTTCCTCGATGGATAACCAATCACTCCATATGCATGAGAATGATCAGCTGTCACCATCAATAATGTGTCAGTTCCCTTTGCAAGTGTTGATGCTCTATCAATTGCCTTTTCAAACTCCAATGTTTCAGTTAAAGCATGTCTACAATATTAAGAAGAAAATAAAATGGCATTAGGTAATCTCATCACTTTATTAAAACAACCTTGATATATTCAGCACATACATCATTGTACATGTTGTTGTAACTAAAAGGTGTGTAATAGAACAAACTTAAAGAATACTTGAACTCAGCCTCATAGAAGAATTAAGCATTGTGAAGTCAAAGCATAAAGGAAGTGAAAACTAAGACTTCACTGAAGCAGTTTGCCAGCCTAAATGTGGTGTTGGGAGTTCAGGTTTCTGATCCAAATCAACTCGAGTAGATCACCGGTGAGCTCAACTACCCTGATTTGCCTAGAAACCTTCACAATCCACAGTTAGTGAACCAAAACTACTCATGTCATGTAGTAGTATATTGCAGTGACCAAAAATATCTTACTAATATTCTTATTACAGTGATGAGCGAGATAGAACTGATAGTAGTAATAATAGATTGGATTTATGTTTCACTCATAATGTCACATGACCCAACAAGATTTAGAGTCTAAAAAAAATTTGTCTTTACTTTATGGATATTGTTCCAAGAGTTACAATTCATCCACGTTAACTAGCTGGAACGAAGAAACAAATGCATCATACAATTGCTGGAATGAGGCAGTGAGAATATTAATGCAAAGTGCATTTGTGTGCCGAATATGACCTTGCCCACCTACATACACTGATATTTATGTTTGTGTTTGCATAAGTTTCCGTGACCAAACTCATGAAATCTACATTATGAATCCAAATAGATTTCACCCAAACTTTAAATCTCTTCGATCATCCAGTGAAACATAAATACAAAACATTATCACTAGCCTCATGCCTACCATCAGGGTCATGTAAAAACTGATAAAATATCAATTCATGAAACAAAAGACTTTCAGAGAAGTGTCAATCTTTTCAGTAATATCACTCTCAAGTTGTACGATCGAATATTCATTCATGTCACATTCTTCTTTAGAGATTACTGGGGATTTGTTTATTGATTTCAACTTGATATTCATCACGGAATGACATCAGTCGACGAACCATTGGAAACACATCTAGAAGTAGCGGAGCACAGGTGTTTCCCTACAGTGTGGGACAATCACTGTAATTTATTTACTCCTACAAACCGTTGGTCACAACTCTAAGAGTTAGGTGAAGGTATATCTGATTATGGTGTTTAGTGAAGGGGATCTGAGTTCTCGTGTTGCAGTAAATAACTTCTGGGTTCATTGATTAATCCCTAGAAGGTAATCAATTTCATGTTTTATAGTTCTAAGTAGGACTGCATATTAATTTTACACATAGTTGCCAACAGAGAAAGAAGGAATGTTTCATAAAAATCTTGTTTGAACAAACTTCGATTTCCATTACTAACTAGGAAGTTGGAAAAGTAGCTACGTAGTGTAAAACGTAGTAGCTAAAAGAAAAATCTTTGAAGACCAAATAAATATTGAATAACTATATTGAATGATGTGAAATAGCTGAACGAATGAATAGCTGTGATGAGATGTCTGAATTTCTATGATGGAAGAATGTGGCGTGAGAAGACGTCTCTTTATGAGACCGTGAATCCATTCCCCTTTCAAGACTTGGATCCACACACCGATCTCCGTATTCACAAAAATAATAGCGAAGGTATTCAGGATTTGAGTTTGCTGCAGGCAATCAGCAGGAAGCCCTGTCTGATCTAGAATTCATGCTTTTTAGCACTACCCTTCAGTGAGATGTATCCCCAACCTCAAAGGAACTCTTTAACACATTGATTCAGTTTCTGTTACTCAACTGTTCAACTACTGTACAATAAGTTTGTCTATCTCTGGAATAACATGATCTGTTGGTGGTTTTTTCAGGCGCTACACCCTTAAATAATTAGACTAATATTTCATTGCCTTCTTTCTTATCCACATTCACTTGTTTTTATCAGTAACTACAAAGAATAGAAGTCACATTTATCTCTCTAAACTTTTCTACGATATCAATATCAGTAAAATGAAATATTTATTCTACTTTCAAATATCGCTCACTTCTGAATTACAAACATTGTAAATGTTCAACACGAATGGAAACCTTCACTTTATATGCACTACTCAATGCCATCTTCGGCTAATCACTCATCAGTAAGGGCTGTTAATCACTGAACAATTTTCAAAGAAAATTACCTCAGTTTGTAATCAAAATTTTGTACTTCTGAGCGTGTTTAGGGATATAAAAGTGAAGAAGAGCAATGGTAGAGCAATCAGTGATAAAATAACATAATAAAATTCTCACTTAGCTTGACTTTTGTGATGACCGTGATCAATTCTGCCTCCTTCGACCAAGAGAAGAAAACCTTTCGGATTACGAGAGAGTACTTTGATGGCAGCTTCTGTCATATCAGCCAAACTGGGTTGGTCCGAATTATCAATGTAGTAATCCATGTGCTCGGGAGCAAACAAACCTGAAAAATGAGCAAGACGCGTTGATCATAATACACAACATGCCAAATTGACTAGGTGGTCCAGCCATACTGATGCTACTAACATATCCCTTTACAAATAATGGGGAATGTAAAGAGGAATGATGTTTCTTGATGGTATTCACCGCATAGTGAAATCAATTGAAGAACCACTGAAAACTCGGGAGCACTGGGCAGATGTTTGGTCAGTGGGTAAAGGACCTTCGAAAGTGAACACCCATGACTTATCAATGCAGCTATATGTAAGGAAGGATACTCATCGATGACGTTGAATGATGGTCATTTTATATCATAAATTTACAGAAGTGGGAGAATCAGTACCCGAGAGATCTGATGAGGTGACCTAATGTTAACGTGCTTGCCTTGAAACCTGACTTTTCTGACATCGATCTCTGAACAGATCATCAATGCTAAATGTTGAGGAGTCCTATACCGGGATGAAGCATCTGTCGGCTGCTAGAATGTTTTCAAAGGCTCTCCAACTGATACCAATCCGTATACCAGCCGAATACCTACAAGCCTCTAAAAGAATGTTTTCATTTTTTTCTCAACATTCCCACTGTGATGAAACAGTTTAATGACAAACTGAATTATTTAAATCAAAGCAGAAACAGCCTTTGGGATCAGGCATCATTCAAAAACTGAGGTTCAAAGTTATTCGATATAATCGTATTTCCCTTCAGCAAACAATTATAAATACATCAATACTGATGATGAATTTTCCAAACTGGATTTTTGAACAGAAATGCTTCCGTCTTTACTTTAGATATCATATCGTTCATATTCAGAATCCAAAGGAACGTACGCATTCCTTATAAAATACTAGGTGGTGTTTATCATGATGATATCACAGTAAGCAGCATGTGCGTATAAACCGTAATGATCAGATGGGGTTGAAGATTCCATAGCAACAGTTTATTTGAGATTTATATCCTTAAAGAATGAGAAAGTGTAGACCAATTCCTTTGCTGTGTGGATGTCATCTGAAGCAGAATTGTAACACTGGAAATTTCAAAGGTGTTTGAAATAGAAAACCTCGCCTGGTTAACTAGTTCACTAGTTACTAGCCGGTCCTAAGCCCGGGTAAAGAAAAAAGGTTGGGCGCAGGGCTAGCAACTGCAATCAACACTGGACAAGACTCTACGCTAGCTGGCGATATCAAAATTCTAATGGGTGGGGCGACATGAATGCCAAAATGGGAGTGGACAACACAGGAAGAGAACTAACCATGGGTCGAGAAGTGCTCAGTGAGGTGATGAACGAGAATGGAGAATTGTTTGCAGAATTCTGTGCATTCAACCATTTGGTGATTGCAGTGAGGCAGTGTGTTCAAGCACAAGGATATCCACAAAGCGACATGGATTTCACCAGACACCAAGACACACTAAAAATCAAATCGACTTCATTTCAATGTGAAGAAAGTGGAGACGCAGTCAGCCTATTTGACACAAGGTCAAGAAGAGGAGCAGATGTAGGTTCACACCACTCACTGTCTAGTGCAAGGAACCTGCCTTCCAAATCAAGTTGAAAGCCCTCAAGGAAGTTGGTGATAGACCACAGTTCAAGTACAACACTCGGAAACTGAAGGATGAAACTACAAAGGATATCTTCACATCAGTCAGCCATCAAGACAAAATGGGAGATGTCGAGCAGCATCTCTGAAGAAACCTGTGTGGAAGAACACTGGAAGTCTTTGAAAGAGATGTGGAAAGGAAACCTGCATAACCAAGCGTATTAGGAAGGAAGAAGAAAGAAGATAAGGAATGGATCTCGACGGATACATGGAAGCTGATAGAGTAGGGAGAGTAGGATGGTGAAGCAGAAGATAAACCAGTGCAAGGATGCTCAACGACAAGAGGAACTGAGTACAATGTATAAAACACTGCACTGGACAAAGAAGTGAAGAAGAGTGCGCGCAAAGACAAAAGACACTTCTACGAAACACTGGCAAGTGCAGCAGAACAGGCTGCAGGTAGGAGAGATAGAGACCTGACAACATTGTATCAAATAACCAGATAAGAGATCAACGCAGACGAAAACAATCAAAGATGATGAAGAAAATTTAATTACGAAAGAAGAGAAACAGAGGAAACAATAGGCTGGCCGACCACTTCAAGAAGCTCTTGAATCGACCACCACCACCACCACCACCTGCACTTCGTCCAGAAATACCACCTGCAGACGCCGAACTACAAGTGAACATAAATCCTCCAAGGAAACTGGAAGTCCTGAGCGCCATAAAGCTACTGAAGTGCGGGAAAGCAGCAGGACCAGATGGAATACCGCCAGAAGCACTGAGAACAGATGCAGAGACAACAGCGGACATGCTCACACCACTATTGCAGGTGTGGAAGGAAGAGAAGGTACCTGGCCATTGATTGGAAGAAGGGTTACGTTGTCAAACTGCCGAAGAAAAGAGACCTCAGTGTTTGCAAGAACTGGCGTGGAATCACTCTCCTGTCCACCCAAGCAAAATATTGAGCCGCATCATCCTGGAGAGGCTTAAGGTTTCACTGGATTCAAAACTACGACCGGAACAGGCAGGCTTCAGGAAGTACAAATCATATGCAGACCAAATTGCAACGCTTCGCATCATCATAGAACAGAGCATAGAATGGCAACCAGCTCTCTACCTCAACTTTATTGATTTTGAGAAGGCCTTTGACAGTGTCGACCGAGAAGTAATTTGGAAACTGCTTCATTACTACGGAGTACCGCAAACCTTTATCCGCCTCATTCAACAGCTAATATGAAGACGCCACATGCCAAGTAATTCACAATGGGAAGCTCAGAGATGCTTTTGAAGTGAAGTGGAGACAGGAGTGAAACAAGGTTGTCTACTATCACCCATGATATTCCTGATTGTGTTGTGGTGGACTGGATCATGCAGCAAACAGTGGGGAGCTGTGAGAAGAGGGGGATACACTGGACTGCAGAAAAGAACCTAGAAGATCTGGATTTCGCCAACTATGACTTGTGTCTAATGTCATACAAACTTGAAGATCTACAGGCAAAAACTAACAAGTTGACAGAAGAGGCAAGGCAGCGAAGACGGGAATTCAACTGAACGTAGAGAAGACAGAGGTGATGAAGATACCGCACCAACAACTCCAACAACAACAACAAACTCCAGTCACCATCAACGGGAGAAACTCAAAGGAAGTAGCCTCTTTCACCTATCTAGGCAATTGAAATAGAAAAGATCAAGAGAGTTATCTACTGTAAGTTATTTGGAGATAGTTGGCAGAAACCCATAGATCTTGGTTTCGTGTTCGAGCACACTCATCGGCAACATGTCTGTGTAACGTCCACCTCACTGACGCCCCACTCGAGTTTCGAACTGGCATCATACAGCGCATTCGAAGACGTTGCAGGTAAGCTACCTAGGCACTCAACAGGTTCGTATTGTCTAGTCCTAAGAGCTGATCGAATTCAGTCAGTCATTTGCTGCTAAGTGAAGCATTCGTCCTGTTACACGATGTGATCATCTTATCAGCAAATAGAAGCTGTAGGCATATTTTTGTGCGCAATTGAGTGAATTATTTCACACTGCCTATATTATTCTGTCTTCCGAACACCTGAAAAACTGAACTAAAACAAGCGATTCTCACCATTTCACTTGAATGCCAGTCAACTGAATAATACTGCACAGCAGCCAGTTGAGCCAACGGAAGTAGGATTATTGTGTAAACCATCTATTCCACCGTTCACTTCTATGTGGTTGACCTCATTTCATCCTACCAGTAATTTTTGTGAAGATTTTAACTCTTTTCCATTTTATCCACTTCGTCAACTCTTCACTGATTAATTTATTGTCAGAAGTGAGTCTTGATTCTGAGACAGAAGTAGTTCATGACAGTGAAATGTTTCATGTTCATCATGAGGTAAAATGGATTTCAGACTTCCAAACTGGAATAATATATTTGTGCAGGACTGTATGATTTCCAGTGGTTCTCCAAATAATATCCATATATCAAGAATACTGTGAAGTGACCCGATAGCCCATAAAACACTAAACTAGGTGAAATTTTTGTCTACAAATTTGGCATCACAATAGTTGGAGCTTAGTCAGACAAAAGGATTTCACGTCACAGTGCCTAAATTCCATCTGATATTAAAAGACTACTTGTATCTTCCAAGATCATACTATGAATTGTGGTTCTTTGAGGTTTAGCAAACGTAGACTATTACCAATCTGCCAAATTACCTTTACAGAAATGGAACATGTTCACCGATATCATATGGCTTGAAACAGTCTGGTGGATGACTGATATATTTATATGCTAAGATATCGAAACAGTTTGTATGGAAATAATCACAATGAACTTATATACATTCATGTTTATGTTACTGATAAGCTGCACCTGATTGTTAGATCAAGGTGAAGTTGGTTGGTGAATTTAGAAGGTTTTTCCATGATTTAAATGTTGTGGGTTAATAGGTGTTACTTCGAAGGGATTTCTCATGCTGGAAAGTGCTCGAAGACAAGCTTCCTCATGAATGAAGTGATCAGTATGACCTATTCTCTATTTCATGGAGACCATTATATCCACAGTATTTTATGTAATATCAGCTTAAGCTTTTTCCACTAGGCATTAATGCGTTTGTTACTGCTTATACTTATGTTCACCAAACAGGTGTATAGACCAGCGTTAGATATATATGTTGGCCCTCAGTATTGGAAAATTTAACCGAAGACAGAAGTTTATCTGACAATTCAAAGCTACAGAAGGATTAACAATTCTACCTATAATTTTATTCACTGAGAAACAACACTGAAATGCCAGCTGAAATGATACATTGAAACAACACACCACCCACCTTACAAACAAGGCTACCAAAGTAGGAAAACAAGGATTCATAATCACCTAACTCAAGTATTTTTAAGTGGTTAGGTAGTTTGTGTATATTTCTTCTGAATAAAAGGTTACAGCTTTACAAATTTTACTTCTCTTCATGAGTAGCTAAATGGCTTTTATGACATTTTCATTTTCCCAGCTTTCTATATCTTTAAAAACATACATGTGGTCAGTCAACTCAAAATCAAATACTCACAAAATCTACTTTTCCATTTTAATGCATAGTCGCAAACAATCGAATAGTAGTTATCTGTCACATCCTGCTTCTAATCAAAATTTATGGGGAGGTTAAAAACCTCCCTCCCCCAATATTTTGACTATACATTCCACAATGTGAAGGTCAGTTACGTATGAAGGTGTAATAAACATCTTAAGGTTGACACAACAGACTTCTTACTGGAAGTAGTGGTAAGTCAGTATAAGCCTGATCAGGTAAAGGGATGCAAATTTACATTTTCAGTAACCACCTTGCATCATATGAGCCTTCTTTATAATACACAACTCACTACGTCTTCATTACTGCAACAGTGTAGAGACATTTGAAGGTGGACAGGAAATGATTATTTCTCCTCTGTAAGCAAGGAAAGGAATCGGTTTACTTACGGATGGTTGGATATCTTCGAAGATACCTAATATCACATGTACTTAGTTCCATTCAACTGGAGCTAAAAGTACACAGACTCAAGACTATGGGCAATTAGCTTCCTGTCAATAGTCACTGCTAATATATGTACAAAACAGAAAGCATATCAAACAGTTTAGATTCGTTTCAAGAGAAATTACCAAGAACATAATCGACTGATGACCAATTTGTCTTCTTAAAATCCTCATTTGTATGCAAGATCGCATACTTGCGTTGCTTTCCAGCTTGTATATTACGCCATTCACTGAGAAGGTCACGTGAATCTGATCGCTTTCCACTCGCCGAAAAGGCGATTTTCTCTGATCCCCCATAGAATCCTGTTGCACCTCCACCCATTACAACGTTCACATCAGAGGCATTCGTGAGTAGTTGGACAGCGGCATCCACACAGTGGTATCCTAACTTACTGGTTGACCTACATGAAAGTGGAATAACAATGATCATTAGTAATGTGATCCTAATGCTTCAACTGAGGTGAAAATGGTGGCGGTTCAATAATCAAAATAGAAATGCATAATGACATGATTTTATCAGACTTTCAAAGCAAAATGTTTCGACATTTTATTGATGTGAGCATAGCCAGCTGTACTGAGCCTTATACATGAAACCAGAGCATGAACTGCATATAAATTGGAAGAATTTTTAGTTGAATAACCCCCCTTTGATGAAGTATTATAGCATTTACTAACACACAATGATAACCATCTATTCAATCCATCAATACACATAGTTTGTGGTTAGGTACTGACCACTTCTGATTTCAAATGTACATTAAGTAGATGTCACTGACTGAGTAACTTAACAATGTCGGGAGGAAGTTGTCAGTTAGCAGATAAAATTTAAAACAACTTCATCCTTCAGCTCAACACTAAGCTGAAGAAACGGAGTAGGTGTTCAGTACACCCTCACAAACTGGCAGCTGGAACTTAACGATGCCTCAGAAGTCCATTAGAAAGTTAAATCAGTTACTATGAAGAGATGGATTCCATTGCTGTAATAAAGTACGATATACAACGACAAAAATGAAAGTATGGATACAGAGTAGAAACTGTCTACTTGAAAAATAAGTGAAGCATTATTCAAGATGCAAATGCTGATCCAACCCAGTGTAACCACTATGCTAAGTAATATGACATTGTAATGCATTATTTGTGGTGCAAGATGCCATGAAGTGATATGTAGGAACAAAGTTCCCTAAGATTCTGTCCTGCTGATACGTATCAACAAGGATATATATGACTTATTGAAAGAATTACTTTGCTAGGAATAATTCAAGTATGCTAAAAGGCTTCAGTTGCCAGTACAGTCTCGAGAACTAAGTAGGTTACCATCGGATTAAAAAAATATACGCACACTCTGACCCTTAACATAGTCTTTTATAAAATTATTTGCTCACTGGGTAAAGTATGAGTGATGATACAAATGTCTTCAAAGTTCAAGAAATCCCTTCCTAATCATCTGCGACAAGCTTTAAGCACAGATTCAGAGACTGCTATCGACAGACTCATAACACCTACTGAAACACAGAGGCGTCTGCATCGTGATCAGTACATCAAGCAGATTTGACAATAATCGAGATAGGCCGAAATAGGGATGAAAACAGATAAGACACACTGTCTACTACCTTTCTTCCAAGATATTCAATCTGACATTATTAACACTCATTAAAGGTAAAATGTTTCCATGTTTTGGATCATTTCTTCTTCAGAATACCTACTTTGAATAACGCTTAGTAGACAGACTACTGTTAGTATAGTGCACTATACAGACTCTAGATCGAGCTGACCATCAGATGTTTGCTGCCCTGTATTCCATCATTTTCCAACAGTTTAATCAACAAGGATCTCAAACTATAAATTATCTTTCGATAAAGAGAAACATTATTTATTGATACACATGAATTGGTAGACGTATTCAGTTACCTCGGAATGAAATAGTCTTCCAAAAAAACTCACTGAATGTTTAGATAAACAGGTAGTTGATTAGGTCGAGTGTGTGTATTCGATGGAGACTTTTCTACTCCAATCTTCAGATGTAAGTCCCTCAGATATTGCAACATATTCACTGACTATAATTAATAGATAATGAATGTAAGCAGCAAAAATCTGAGATTCAACTTATTGTGCGAAATGATATGTTCACTAGTGTTATGAAGTGTAATCAAAATCGCCTAAGTATTCTAGTAAGTTACTGGACATATGGATCAATTTAATTGCAATTGCTTAATCACTTAGATTTAATAAGTGTTCTTTGAATGACGTCAACAGTTTTTCACTTATTACAATAATGCGGTTTCACTTTATTCAGTCTGTTTTGCCGAACGCCTAATTGGATACTAAACGAACGTTTAGCAAGCATTTTTATTGAAGCAGAATCATATGCAAAAATCACGTTTTTCTTTTCAGAAATGTTCCCTTGGAGGAGTTCTATCTCACACCTTGATTGCCAAACACATGAGGTGTTGAGTAATTTGAAAGTACCATTCTGGCATTCTGTCTCCAGTTTTAAGTATGGAATGGCTTGCTAATTATACATTATCTGCTCAGATGTTGACCAAGTTACTCAGCTGCCAGGTGGTGGTTGAGGGTGAAATACTAGCCTGAGTCACGAAAGGATTCGAACATGCTGCCTTCGGATTACCAGCTCGATGGTCTACCAACTGGGCTGAGAGACTTAGCTGAGGATCATGTCTTAAATTCACTTGGATCACCAGGGATTTTGTCCGGATGCTATGTGAATCCGTGATACGTAACTATTCATTCATCGACCGACATCAACCTTTAATTTATCTCCAAAGAATCAAAAAATCCTTCCGCACTTCAGACTGCTGAGTAGCTTTAATTAGTACACTAGCCAGGCGAGTGATTACTTAACTACTTGTTGCAGACAATTTTCACCTCGGTCTTCGCGGCTTAGATGCAAATACTTTTTATTGATCTACTAAACATAACTTCATGCATAAAGTTAATAACTACAGTTACAATGGAATACTGTAATCAACTGACTTTTAGTTGAGCTGAAAATATTTCTGCCGAAAAACAGCCTTTACAAACTGGGCTGTGAGTCTTGAATCGGGTTTCATGGATGTTTTCTTTCTAGCATAAAACAACGCTAAGTTTTTAACCTGAGTTAATGGTGTCAAACCTGATGAAGTGTTCTCATGTTAAAAGGCAACTCATCAGTGTGTGAAAGATAATTTAACCCGTTTGAATTTGTTAATGCGCATCTAATAGTTCACTTGCTTCTATGAATCTGAGTTCGTCGTCCGCACTGTGAGCTCACTTTAAAAACATACTCATAAAGATTGCCCAGTTTGGTTGCTGAAGGGTGAGCACAAAGCCATCTCCAGCTCTAACAGTGAATACTTCACTGACTCTGGACACCTGACTCTTCTGGAAACCTGGTTCAAAGCAAGCTAAATAAGTTGTGCCAGTGAACTTCAAAATCAGCCACGTAGTTAGGTGAACTGTAAGGTTAACACCAATCTGAATGGTGTACAGCTGTGTTGAGAAGCTTTGACAATACCATTTGTAATAATTAAGTTTTCAAAAGGGGTGATAATAGACATTTGACAGCAGCTGAAAATGCTATATCATAAATTCCTGGTTAGTGAATTAATTCTACCTTTGTGCCGAGAAAGTATTTTGGTCTCATGATAGTCGTTTACATTCAGCTTATATTCATAATGAATAGTTTTCCATAACCTGGTAAACAAAAGCGTTATTCAGCATATCTATCGAGTGTCTTTATTATGGTCTTTTGACCTGACAAAACACATCACTTAAAAACGAGTATCATTCTGGTATACTGATAATTTATGCGTTGACTGGACACTTGAGAGTAACTAACTTCACGTTCTCTATTCTTCAATGTTGAGTGAAGTCTTCTAATCATTTCATGGTGTAAGCACTGAGCTAAGGAATTCACTACCATGGCGTAGAAGAATTCATGCAAGAGAGTTGAAGGCAGTGGGTAGAAAGCACTACTTGATCTAGGTGTGATGCTTGCTGGCACTCGTCAACAAGATGCATCCCCAGGCTTCAGAAAACATCTGAGTTATAAACCCTCATAACCAATTACTGAGGTCAAAGGTCTTTCCACTGACGTACTTGGTGGTAAGGTCTTTGACCGTAGCCGTAGATGCTGTGCAATCAAATCACAGAAAGGACACCAGTTCCCTTAAACTTACAGATACACCCTACTTATGAGTACCAAAAAGCATGAAACTTACCTAGATCAAGGAAGACTACCGACCAGTAACCCCCAGCTAACCAACACCGATAATTTCTCATCCCTTAAGAATCTAAAGGTACATCTCACTGTGTCAGTGAAAACATTTCCTCACGATAAATAGGAACAACTGACGCTTCTCCGTTTAACTGAGGTCCTTAACACCACAATGACATCTACATAGTCACTAAAAGGTTCTGAAGCAAATTTGAAGATAAACAATACAAAAGATAAACTGTGACCATTGAAGTTACTTTCCATATCAACAATTGATACTAAACTACGACTCTAATTCCTTGCTACCATGCAATAAAATGGAATCAAATCACTTTCTCTTACGTATACAATGTTGAAAGTTCCCAGTGTATAAATATTTTTGAGTATTATCTAACCTAACAACAAGACAAACATTAACGACATCATTTCATATCACCATAATCCCATTACTGAAAACAATTTTAATTTCGTTGGTCAAGGTGCGTTCTAGTCTCCTCAGTAGAATAACAGTGCATTGAATAAACGAAGACACTGGACTTCCTTCTGGTCCCGTTATCTTCTGGAATGTGATGGGCAATATACGGCTTAGGGATTAACCAAGTTACTGACAGTACATGACGAACTACACTTGTTCATATCACCAACATGGCTTTCATGAATGTGTAAATCATTTTATTTCCATTCATCTTCACTGCTATTTACAACCTTCCATGTGTTCCTCTTCACTGAGATTCAAACCATGAAATAGCTCTTATATTTCGAGCAGATATATGCTGTGACACATAGTCCACTGAATCCTTGTTTATTCCTTAGACATTGTCGTTTGTCATTTAGTATTGATTTGATAAACTTATCATAGAAGTTTTCCTATTTATATTTTGTCATATATTCCTCTGGACTCGCTAATTTCTCTTCTTCAGGAGGATTCAAAGTGCTGGCATGAAATTATCGCATAAATAAATGACCTTTTCATAAATGGCTCATTCACTTAACTTATATCAGATTGTCACCACTGTATCCGGCAACATTATTTTCTGACGTCTTTGACAAAATTAGGATATACGGTGGGTGAATTGATGGACAGACATGTTAGGTTTTTTCCGAGTAGCCACATCTGTGGTCATCATTATGAGTGACTTGAGAAAAGAAAGATGTCAGTATGATGGTCTGCAAATAAACAAGTACCAG